GCCGCGCGGGCCCCGCACGCGGCAGGGCCGGGCGCGCGCCGCCTCGCGCGGTCGCAGCCGTGACGTGTGCGGGGCAGGGGCGCAGGCGCGGCGCGGGCGGCCGGGGCGGGCGGCGATGGCGGCGGCGCGGTCCCGCGCAGGTACCGCGGGCGCGGCGCGAGGGGCCGGGGGCGCGCGGGCTCCGGCGGCTGCCCCGGAGCGGAACCGGGCCGGGCCGGCCTGGGAGGGGGGCGGCGGGAGGGGGAGGAGGAGGAGGAAGAGGAGGAGGAGAAGGAGGAGGAGGAAGAAGAAGAAGGGGTGGGAAGGCCGCGCTTCCCGCCCGGCCCGGCGCTGCCGCCGCCTCTTCCCTTTGCCTTTCTCCCGTGCGGCGCTTTCCGCCCGGCGGCGGGGCCCGCGCACGCGGCCGGGAGCGGAGGCTGCCCGGGGGGTAAAGGAGCTCTGACGGGGCCCGGTGGCGAGCGGGAAGCGGGCCGAGGGCCGGAGGGAGGGAGAGAGAGAGGGAGGCAGGGCCGGAGGGAGGCGGCGGGGCCGGTGCGCGGCCCGGCCGTGCTCGCCGGGCTCCCCGCGCTGCCGTGCCCGTGTGCGCCGGGACGGGAACAGCCCGGGGGTAACGCGAGCGGCGTTCTGCCGCCTGCGCTTCCCCGCCGCGGCCCAGCACAGCCGGGGAGAACAAACAGCAAATCTAAATTCTTGGTTCCGCAGAGTCACCCTTCCCTTAATCTTCCTGGAAATGGGAATGCGTTTTTGGCGTTTTGAATCGCTTTAGTCCCATTGTTAAGAAGTGGGAGATGGAGGTTGTGCCTTAGGGAAATAAAATAACTTGCTTTACAACTTTCTGTGTTTCGCATACGCGATGCATGTGCCCACGAGGCTTTACGGATGTAAAACTAATATTTTAAGACCCTTTCTTTCATTCTTTCTTTTCTTTCATTTTCTGGTTTTGAGGGTTTTTGTTGATGATGTTGTTTCGGGGTTTTTTTTGGTCTTTTTTTTTTTTTATTTTATTTTTTTTTTGGCCCAGAATTAAAATAACCTGACGGTATTTGTTTCGAAGATTGCAACTGCGCTTTATTTTACTAGATTGCAGTTCCAGAAGATAGACACCCAGGAGATTCTACCTTCTGCCATGGCTCAGTTTGGAGGACAGAAAAATCCCCCTTGGGCTACTCAGTTTACAGCCACTGCGGTGTCTCAGCCAGGTCAGTTTACACTCGATGTTTGAACCCTGACATGTAGCAGATTTGGAGATTCCATACTTGGGTATGCACTTCAGAGTGGCACGATGCTAACTAACTAATCTGCAGTCTATTTAAGTGGTTTAAATCGGGAGTTTTTCTCCACGGTAGAGACTTTAAAAGCCGTTGCCTAATAATGTCTGTTGGTTTTTGTTTGTTACTTGGTTTTCTTAAGGACTGTGAGTGAAATCCCAGGTGAATCTGTATTGATTGTTTCAGTCAATAAATAACGTATCAAGTTACTCATCTCCAAAGATGTGTAAATCAAATTACCTCTTATTAAATTACTTGGTTCTAGATTAAATAATATCAGGTCTAGTAAGGCATTACAGATTTTTTAAGTGCTGCCCAGGTTTCATTTCCTGGGCAGCCTGAATCAATGTTTATAAATTATTTTTCTAATTTATTTTATTAGTAGATTAGACATAATCCATGTAGTGGAAAGTCCTCTGAAATTTGTTACTTGGGTGAGAAGGGAGGCATTTATTTTTTGATGCTAAATTAGAATTTAAAGGTCCCTAAAACCAGAGGTATTGCCCTAATAATGGTAGAGAGATTCCTTTGATTTAGCTAATAAGTGTTATTAACTGCAACCACTGTTTAAAAACCTAGCTGGCTCCATTTTTATGTTGATTTACAGCACAGAAGGTTTGAGGCAAGAATGTGAAGCTTGATGCATGATGAATTTTGGTGCTTCCACTTCCAGTTCTGGAGTGCCTTTTGCTTTTGAGTACGAGTAGTTTGTTAATTAAATGTTGGAGTTACATTGTGCAGTGTGAAAAGACTTCAGCAAAGCTGTGGTACTTAGAGGGTTCAGGATGTGTGGTTTCTGCAGTTGCTCTGATTTGATATGAAGTTCACACTTTGATATGTTCATTCGATATGATGTCACACTTCCTTTGTCAATGGCTTTGTATCTGGCAGCCTAGCAAAGGTTGGGAATGTGTGACATTCTTTGGAGGAGTCTGGGGTGGGAATCTCTCTCCTCTTCTGACTCAGTTTTCTTTCGAAAAGTGAATCCTCAGTCTCCAGTTTTTCCCTGGGGGCACTGATCCAATCACACTGTGCATCTTCAGGGAGTGACCACCCACCATGTGCTTCACAGCACATTATCCCGGTGTGCCTTTTTCTTTTCCTCCGTGCCCATTCTGCTCCATTCCCTGCCTGAGCTGTTGCTGTCCCTAAGCAGCTGCCCACAGGCAGGTTTTCACCGTTTCTCTGAATAGCTCACACTTCCCTTATCCAAATGACACTATCTCCTTCTGTAAGGAAATCCCTAACAGCTGGAAAGGGTTGGGAATGTGGGAGAGACAAACTTTGCTTTTGGTTCTCATGTCAGACTGGGGGAGATGTTGGAGCAGTGAGAGTGGGAGCACTTGGGCTGTTCTTGATGTGTTGGCTGATGTGACAGCTGATGAATCAGAAATAGTGGTGGAAGGTGGAGGACCAGCTCCATGTCCTGTTCCAGAGGGAAAGCTGCACAAAACCTGCCAAGGGGAGGAGCTGGCATTCATCTTAGAGCTTGCTGAGGTAGGACCAGGAGGGGGCCCTGGAGGAGGGGTGGATGGAGCATGCATCTGCCTCTTACCCATTTTGCTATGCTCCTACCCTACTTCTGAGCCTCCTTAAATTAAATACAGCACAAATATAACTGGGTAGGACTGATCAGCATCGGCTGCTGTGAGAGATTTCTCACCTGCTCCATGAGGACAGTATCTGCAGGGATTTATAGCTGCTCATCTGACCCAGCAGCACCTGACTCAAATATGAGAGCCATTAAAGATGTAACATTTGGTTGCACTTTTACACTCTTCCTGTGCTAGCTCCACGTTCCTTCATGTTCCTGGTGTCCTTTTCACGTTGTAGTGTCCTTTCCTATTCCTGCTGCAATACAGGAATGTCACCATGTCTGCATCCTCTTTCTTTCCTGTGTGCTTTGTTGAACCCAGTCCCTGGGATTCTTCTGCCCAGCTGCTGTTCAAGTACATACTTGTTCCCCTGCTTTTTTAATTGGTTATTTTGATTTATAATACAGAGCACAGGAAGCATCTTTTGGAAGGCAAGCAGTGCTCTTTGGCACTTCTGGGAGCTGAAGAACAGTGTTTCTGGTGGAACTTGCCCCTTTTGGAGTTGTGACCTTCCAGAGAGGCAGTTTTCCTGAGGAGGAGGTGCTGTCAGTGCTCAGGTGTGCTGATCAGCCTCAACTGCTGCTCACCTGTGTTGCACCCAAGAAATTGTGCAAATCGGCTTACCCTTGTGAATTTCAGTGTTAACTCATAAAGTATGTTAAAAACATGCTTTCAGAGGGTTGGCCAAAGCTGTTATATATATTTATGCATGCTAGCTGTTTCTGTCCAAGTGTCAGGTTCCTTCAAAGCTTTAAGGTGCTTGGGTATGAGGGAAAGAGGTCTCGATTTTTGTAACACAAGCAACATGATACGTAGTTTTTTCCAAGCTGTCAGAAGAAGTGATTGATGGTGTTAGACATTTTTTGCAAAAAATATCAGTGGTGGGGGTTTGTGTTTTTCATTGTTTTGGTTTAGGGATTTTTTTGGTGGATTTTTTTTTTTAATTGCTGATGTGGATGCTGCCTTGGCTATCCCTGGTGAAGAAGTAACTAAATGAGTTAAAGCTCTTAATTATTAAGGTGTGACACGCTAGTTGTAGACTGACATGCTGTGTAATGAAGGGTTCTGGGATCCCTTTGAGAGGGCTTATTAATTACTCTCTGTGCCTGTGGTATTAGAAGAGAGATGGGTAATTCCAGATGCCAGCAAAGATCGATGTGTGAAGAGAAACTCCTACACGTAACACAGTGAATTTTTGTCTACTCCTCATCTCATGCTTTTATGCATCACAAGACTGAAACCAGAATAAATCCCCCACCATGCTGGTTAAGCATTGTTAAAGCATAAATTAAATTATGCCTACTACAGAAAATTACTTTTAACTTGCATAATGATGGGCAAACTCCTGAAATGCCTGTGAAGGAGAATTCCCTCCTCCTCTCTAGCTCTTCATTTTTGGCAACTCTTTGGTTTTTGTCGCAGTGCTCGCCCTGTGCTGTTTTCAGGGTTGTGATGAAAAGGCTGGTTTTACAGGACTATAATTCTGATGGAAGTCCTGGCTCTGCTGTGTTCTGTAATTGGTGCTGTTGTCTTTGCTGTATCTAGGCTTCATTGCATTGGAGTGAAGAGCTGATGACAGCTGAAGTGCCTGGAGCTCAGTGTCTTGTTATTGCTGGTGGCCCCTGTGAGGTGACTAAAGCAAAGTGTAAGAGCAGGGTGAGCATGTGGTGAATCTCAGCCCACTAAGGAATAGTAGCTGGTGCACACTTTGCTGGCTTGCTGTAAACAGATGTCCCATGACAAATGCGCTGAGCCTGGTTTCCAGTGCGTGCCTGTTAAGAGGATTTTTGGAGTAGTTTGTGTGGTGTTTGTATTGCAAGAGTGTGAAGCTTAAAGAAACTCGAAAGCCCAAGGAGCCAATCTCACAATTTCTGACAGCTGTGAGAAGTGTCCCAAGCCCTGTACAGGGTACTCTTTTACTGTAATTCTAATAAACCTATGTCACTTACCAAGGAGACATATGTAGCTATGTACTTTGAAGATATTTCCCTAACTTTTATTGATCTTTAGGGTTTAGGAGTAGAAAGAGGGACTGGCTTTGTGTTTGTTGCAATGTCTAAATGTCTATTCCCTAACCCAGAGCTGCAGCCTAGGACCCCAGCTTCTGCCTGAGCCCTCTCAGCTGCAGTGCCACGCGGTATTTGTTGCCAGTGGGAGTTGTTTGCACTGCATTTGAAGGAAGGCATCTCCATCACTGGACTTACTGCGATCATTACAAATCCTAAGATGCTGTTGTTTGCCACTGCAGATGCTTGTTGCCAGTAATAGTAATATGGCAGTCAGATGTCAGCTCCAGACTCAGTCTGATTCATTCTCTGTCTCTTGGTTTTCTGTGTGATTTTTCCTTTTTGTTCTCTTTCCTTTTCTTTTTAACTAGTAATCCAAACTCAGTTGTCTAATTCATTGGAGCCTGTTTGACCAAGATGAGTACACAGATGAAAGTCAATCAGATGAAAGTCCTGGAATACTTCAGGGCAAATCAGTGGGAACAAGATGCAGCTTTGAAAAACCTGTTACTACAGGTGTTATCCTTTGAGAGGATCTTGGCTGTCTTTTGTCTTTGCCCTTTATTAATAAGTAAATCTAAAGTGTTGTAGACAATAGATGCCCAGTTAATATTAAATGCTCAGAAAGTGACAGTAGAGATGGCAAAAAAAAAAAATTCTGGTTTTTCTTTAGTTGACCAAATGGGATAAGGGTCTTAGGATGGGCTGGGAATTGCTTGAGATAATTCTGGGCTATGCTGAAATGGAAATTGCCATAGTGAACCTGAAGAGTTGAATAATCCCAAGATCTGGTGTTGGGAGTAAGCGTTTTTGTGGGTACCATTGATGCAAAAAGTAGGAGAAAACTTGTGAGATTTGCTTTTGGTAATGCTTCCCAACTTCATCCCCCTGTGTTGGAGCAACATCATGTATTCAGACTGAATGACAAAAACTGGAATAGTCACACAATGTTCAAAGGTAACAGCATGGAGCAAATTTCTGCACTGGTGGGAATTTGTTTGGCCTGTGGAAGTAAGAGGAGAAAGATGAATGCATTGGTTTATTTGCCTTGACTGAGCCAGCAAAGTATTGCAGCCAAGGAAAGTGAAAGCTGTCCCAGGATGCAGCAGCAAAACTTCAGAATTATATTTAAAGGTCTGTTTAAGGTGTGCTATGTGAGACATCGGTGAGGACCCAGTTGAGAGTGACCTTCTGGATGGTCCAAACTGCACATTCAGATTGAAGCTGGTGATCAAGCAGGAGGCAAGAGGCTCAAGACAGTGGAGGGTCTGTCAGGAGAGAAGCCTCAAATTTCGTTTGCTGGCTTCTAAAGAAATGCAAATTTTGGAATTTTTCATGGGGAAAGTTAATTAAATGCCGTACACTGCAGAATGCTTGATTTCACTTTTAAAATACTGTTACTTCCTGGAGTGCTTATGTGACAATATTTGATACAGATCATAGTGATAGCAATTATTTTCAGTGCTGTTTATGTATTTCTTTCCTGATTCATTACAAAATTAAAAGATGATCAGTGCCATCAACAAAGACTGCTCTGCTGGAAAGGGCAGTGTGGTAGGAAGGATTACATTATTCAGGACCTGTTGAGTGGGGGCACAGCATTATGGTAACAATCACCAACTACAAGCAGTGTTTTACTGCTTGCCTGGATCAGGGAAGAAAAGCTGTATTTTGCATCAGTAAGAACAGTGTGGAGCACAAACTGCAGGAATACTGTAAATCTGTTCCTCATTCCGTTGTGTGTCTTTGATGGCTTTGGAAGAGAGAACTGTGTTAATCTTGAGCATTGCTCAGTTCTGGAGATGGCTGGCTGACCTGTTTTTGCTGGCAGTGTGTTTCCCTGCTGAGTTTCTCTCTGGTTTTATTTAAACATGTGGACTAGACTGATAGTTTATGATCATGGAGTTTTGATCATGCAGCTGCCGATAACTTTTTGAAAAAATCTTGCCAAAGAAGGAGCAGGTTTTCAGATCTCATTTTGAAGGGTTCTTTGTCACCCAAAAGATCCATCTGTAAGTCTTGAGCATACCTTGTTCAGAAGCACAGCCTGTGCATAGCTGCTCCTTATGATTTGCTTATGTTCTGTGGCGAATTAAAAGCTGTCATGACAGTAAAATAAACTAATCTTTCCTTCTAGGCAGTTTGAGTCTGGGCAGCACAAATCCTTCCTGTTAAGAGCTGGAGAGAGCTTGAGTTCCCTTATACATGGGGACTGATTAAGCTCTCTGTTGTTCCAAGGCTGTTCCTTCTCCACCAGCCCCCACTTCACTGGAGACAAAGACAGCACTGAGTGGAGCAAAAACTTGCGTGATTTCAGAGGACACGTTCCATAGGCCTCTGTTTCATAGATGCTGTTACAGTAAAGCTTTCTCTTGCCCTTGGATAGAATGAAATGTATTAATTTGCAGAGCAGCAATCTTCATTTGGCTCATCCAGAACCAGGCCTACCTTCAAGAAAGTACATGGGGGTGGGTGCAGCTGTAAAATGAGCAGCTCCAGAGAAGGAAATGTAACTGTCTCTGTTCCTCTGCTGTGGGTTACTATTGGTAGATGAATTTAGAAGAGAAGCTAGGGGGGTGCAATCCTTTATCTTGAATTTTGGAACTCGATCGATCTCCTCTCTGAGCTCGACCGAGGCGCAAAGCATCGCGCGGCGCGTCCTGCGCGAGCCGGGCTGGCAGAGGCGCTGTGAGCGCTCACTGGCCCTGTTCTCTCCACAGCTGCCCTGGGCGTGCAGCAGCCCTCGCTGCTGGGAGCCTCCCCGACCATCTACACGCAGCAGACGGCGCTGGCAGCCGCGGGGCTGACCACACAGACCCCCACCAACTACCAGCTGACGCAGACCGCCGCGCTCCAGCAGCAGGCGGCAGCCGCGGCCGCGGCCCTGCAGCAGGTAAAGCAAACACAGCGGCCGGCGCTCCCCGAACTTCGTAAAGCTAAAGGATCCAGGAGGAAAGGAGAATGGAAAATGGTGAACATTGCAGTGTGAACCTGTCTTCTCAATGGTGGGGGTTTGGGTTTATAGCTAGCGGAATTGGTCTGCGAAGGTGGGAGTTTGGGCTGTGGAGGAGCTGATTTTTAGCTGTGGAAAGCCCTTTGGGAGAGCGAGTTTTGCTGCATCTAAAATGAGAATCTCCAATATCTCCCATCAGTGTATATATATATATATATATATATATATATCTCCTTTATGGGATTTTGCATGATTCATAATGTGCCCTAAATACTCTTAAGTGTCAGGCTCAACAGAAATTGCTGACTTTAGCTAGAAAGAGAACATCAGGGCCCACTCTAAAGGCTCAGAATATTTGTTACAAAAATAATATATGTTGATATTATTAGTTATTTTTTAATTAAAGTTGTTAAATGTTAATTGTTTTTATCTAGCACTTGCTAAGCAGATAACTTGTATTTGATATTATTGTGGCAATAATTCTCCTGTTTATGAGATATTTTGCTTTTATCTGTTTCAGCAATATTCACAACCTCAGCAGACTCTCTATAGTGTACAGCAACAGGTTTGTCTGATTCTTACTGTGTACATCACAAATAACTTTAAAAATAATGTCAATTGTGTGTCTTGTAGGATTTGTCTCCGAAATCATCCTCATATGGGAAGTTGTTAAAGAAACTTAAGTAATATTTTGTGTAGCAAAGGAGAGCTTGAAGTTCATAAACCTGGAAAGATGTACGCAGAATGGAAACCTGCCTACCTTCATGCAAAAACAAATTTTAAATATACATGCTATTCCATGAGTAAATGATTCTCTGCTGAACTTTGCTCTAAACAGGGCCGTGTATTTTAACTGCTGGAAAGACGCTGTCCAAAAACGTTCCCTTTTGGATTTTTATTATGATCTTCAAACTTAACAGGATTTTTGAAAAATAATAAAAGTACAAGGGAATTACATGCCTAAGCTGTTTCAGTTGCCAAAATTTTTTTGGTGTTGCTATTAACTTTCAGTTAAAAAAAAAAATTAAGCATTTCTCCTTTCTGAATAAACCTGGGTTACACAATCTTAAAATTAACCCCACAAGCACAGTTTTACAGATGTGCAAACTGCTGAAATGACCAAGCCCTAAAGGACTATTAACTGACTCAGATTAAGGAAAAACTCTTACTTGTAAAGAGGAGGTAGAATTGTACAATTTCCTTAAACACATAAAATTAATTTATAACTTTATTTATTTTAAGTTGCAGCAACCTCAGCAGACCCTTTTAACTCAGGTTAGTTTGGCTTTATTGTTTGGTCTTCATCCCCAAACACAGATAATGCAAGATTGCAAATTTGTGACATCTTGGTATTTTAATCTGTAAAATGAACTAATCTGAATGGATATTTTATTGGTACAGGTTTATTTTATCCAGATGTTAAAATATGCATAGCCTTGGTTTCAAAAATTAATGGCAACCACTCTTCCTTAATCTTGAAGGGAACATGTGTGTTGATTGTATTTTAATATTTTTTTTTGTTTGAACTTCAAGTGTCCAGTTGTTTTGCAGTAAATAGCAAATGGGGAAAATCTTTTCTATTTGAAGGAATTTAGCAGTATGTGTATAACCAGGTTTAAAAAGAATCTTGCTGAGCTTGACAGGTTTAAAACGTGCAGCCATTTAACGCACTGCTAATTGCTCTAGTTCCATTTTCACTTGAACTTTTAAACAGGCTTTAAAAAGGTAAAAATGTTTGACCTGATTTCATTATCTTACCATGTTCTCCTTTTCTAAAAAGGCAAGTACATGAACTGTTGATTTAGGGAAGGGTTTGTGTTGGCCTCAGCCTTTACTGACTTCTACCACTACAGGTGGGGTATAAATGCAGAATGACCTCTGAAGCATTTATTCCTAGAAAAGTTGGGAATTTATCTCCACTTCAAGCCCATTCTATGGGTTACCTGTAGACAATAATGCAGTCTTCATGCTTTCTGTCTGGACAAGGTACATTCTTGGGGGAAGCTGACTCTTGTAAAAAAGGATAACAAAGCCAGCCTTCATTGAAAGTAAGAAACGTGTCACCTTCCAAAAAACCCAACAACCTGACAAAAAACACAAAAACCTTCCACCATCTGAAAACGTCTATTCTAGGTGCTATAGTCACTTGAAACTGCTTTCTCCATGACTAAAGGACCTGTTGTTCCCTGTCAGTCTGCCAGCTGCTTCCAAGATTGAGAGTTGGCTTTGTTTTGCTTGCAGCCAGCAGTCGCTCTCCCGACCAGCCTCAGCCTGTCCACGCCCCAGCCGGCAGCTCAGATCACGGTCTCCTACCCGGCTCCCCGCTCCAGCCAGCAGCAAACACAGCCACAAAAGCAGCGTGTCTTCACTGGGGTGGTGACTAAGCTACATGATACATTTGGTTTTGTGGATGAAGATGTCTTTTTTCAGCTTAGGTAAGCTGTGAACACTCGCCTGCAGATGTACTCCATGATACTCTCAGTAATCAAAGGTTTAGATGATTGCACGCTAATTCTGTGACTCTGCTGATAGTGCCTGCAAGAGTCTGTTGTTTTCATTCAGAAGGGAAAGTCAGAGAGGTTAATAGATGCTAAGTCTGAGGTCCTTCATGTGAATTTTTGATTTTTTTTAATACAAAGCCCAAAGGTGGGAAAACCAGAGGTTATTAGCTCCTTGTAATAGGAAACTGCAGAATTTGTGGGTGATTAAAAGCATAAAACCTGCTGTCTGCATGTGTTAACTTGGTACTCTTTGGAGAACTTCTGCCTTAGGGCCAAAGACAGGGAATTACTAAGTACCTGTGCATACCTTGAGCTGAAGCAAGCAATATTAATGCTGAATTTGGGGATAGATGCTCTTCCTATGAGCTTTTTTAAATGAACTTTGGCTACTTTCTCCCAGCTTTAAATGTAACATGCAAAAAACCTAACTAAGATAGACTCTCACATACGTTTTCTGTAATGTTTGCAGTGCTGTTAAAGGAAAGACACCTCAGGTGGGTGACAGAGTTTTGGTAGAAGCTACTTACAATCCTAACATGCCATTCAAATGGAATGCCCAAAGGATCCAGACCCTCCCAAACCAGGTGAGTGGGGTTACCCAGTGTCCCTGGCAGTGGCTGGCTCTGCTGAAGCTCTCTGCCGACTCGCTGTGTTTGCTGTCAGAACCAGAGCCAGGCGCAGCCGCTGCTGAAGACGCCGCCGGCCGTCCTGCAGCCCATCGCCCAGCAGACCTTCGGGGTCCAGGCACAGCCACAACCACAGTCCCTGCTGCAGGCACAGATCTCTGCAGCTTCCATCACACCTCTGCTCCAGACACAGCCTCAGCCACTGCTGCAGCAGCCACAGCAGAAAGGTGCTCCTTCGGTGCACGCCTATTTTGGGGGGAGGTCACTGGTGTTTAGTGGGTGATGGTTGTTTTCCTCTTAATCAGAAAGGTGAAATAATAGCTGAAATAAAATGGAAGGGACTCAGTAGAGTTTTTTAGATTAAATATATCTTCCTGCAGCTCTGTGCAAGGCACATTGCCTGCGGTAGCTTAGAAATCACCTGGTCAGTGAAATCCCCACAGAGTCACGTTCATGTTAAGATTTTGTAATCCAAAAGCAAATTCAATGTAATTTTTGTTCTTTCACAGACAAGTTGGGGAGTTGAAAGTATTAATAGCAGTGCAGTCCTTCAGCATCTTCAGTGTTCCACAAAATCAGGTTTTGCAGTTGTATTGTTAAAGCTGTTACTTCTTTGCTTATTCATTTTGGTTAGCCAGGTTGGCATCTGAGAGAATAATCACTGCCAACCATGGCAAATCTAAAACAAAGGTTGTGAATTCTCCTCCACATTGAGTGGCTGAGGAATCAGTGATAGAAGTGATAATATTAGGACTGTTCTTACCACAGTAAAAGCAAGGGTAGATGAACTGAAGCAGAATTCTTTTGCATAAATGCTTACTACAGTCTAATTAGTCCTACTTGTTCACTGGTGTTCGGTAGCATTTGCTCCACTTAAATTAGTTGGTTAAATGTCTTGAGACAAAGAAAGTATGTGCTGAAGGACTGATGTAGCGGTATAATACATTGATTTAGGAGTAGTTTTCAGGATGCCAGTTATTTTTATGTATGAATAGCCTTAAAATGAGGATTTTAGTGGTCCTTCAGTTCAATGAGTAGGTAGTGTATGTCTTAAATTAAGTTTTCAAAAAGGCTTAGCTGTTTATTAAGATGGATTCTATATGCTTAGGTTATATTAGCTTCCATCTCAAGAAGATGCTTTTAAACCAATTTCACTTAACTAGAGTGTCAGTTTGCCTCACTGAAGAAAAGCTTAGGTCTCTTGAGTTTCTTTGGGTGGGTGTTAACAATGGATAAATTTGACTGTAGTGTTAGGTTAGAAAACGTACACAAGTGAAACAGCAGTAAACAGCAGTGTTTGCCAAGTGTAGGGAGCTGCCCCCTATTCTGTGTTGATGCTGTACATTTTGTTTCAGGTGGTTTGTTGCAGCCCCCAGTCCGTCTGGTTTCACAGCCACAGCCAGCTCGCAGACTAGACCCACCGTCCAGATTTTCTGGGAGGAATGACCGAGGTGGAGACCCCATGCCAAACCGAAAAGATGACAGGAGGTATGTAAACCAGACTGTGATCCAAGCATTCCATAAAGACCTGTCCTCACCCAGAGCTGAGCTGCTTGCTCCAGAGTGAGTCAGCAAGACCCACAAGTGGTGTTACCATTAAGAATTAGGGAAGAGTTCTTGTCTACCTGAAAGGAGCTGTGTGATCGGTTTCTCTCATAAAGAGACGGTACTGAACTTCTTCCCTTGTTCGAGTTGTCTCTGACAGGTGTGGCTTCTGTTGTGCTAGAAATAATTTTGTGTTACCAGCTTGCAAAAATATTTGTATTTTGTGTGTGTTCTTTAAGTCGTGAAAGAGAGCGGGAGAGACGTAGGTCCCGGGAAAGATCCCCCCAGAGGAAACGCTCCCGAGAGAGATCGCCCAGACGGGAGAGGGAGAGGTCACCACGGAGACCCCGGCGTGTCGTTCCTCGCTACACCGTTCAGTTTTCCAAGTTTTCATTGGACTGGTATGTTTATAGTGCCAGATATTTACCTACAGTTCAATTTATCAGCCCACGTTGTGTGTAAGTGGGTGTTGAATGATGATCCTGACTAAAGAAGGGTCAAATATATAATGGCTAAGAACCTTGTATGATAAACTTGTTTCAGGTTCTGTGTTACTTTAGAATGCTATTGCAAAATAGCTTTATAGTGTTGTTTAATGAGTATTCTTAACATGCAGACACCTGAATTAGAAGAGTGTTTAATAGTAACTTCATCCATGACATTCAAATGTAGTCAGTGCTCTTGAGATTTTATGTATAGAGAATCAGATAGACAGTGGTTGTATTGCCAATAAATATACCTCTTAATGATGTACTTTGTTACTAATTCTTCATTGGTGTATCTTTCAAATAATGCTGTGTCTTTCAGCCGTAGCTGTGATATGATGGAGCTGAGGAGGCGTTACCAGAACTTGTATATCCCGAGCGATTTCTTTGATGCTCAGTTTACATGGGTGGATGCTTTTCCTATGTCTAGACCATTTCAGCTGGGAAACTACTGTAATTTCTATGTAATGCATAGAGAAGTAGATCCTATAGATAAGAACGCTGCTGTCCTTGATCCACCTGATGCTGATCATCTCTACAGTGCTAAGGTTTGTATGCTTTTCCACTGATACCACTATTGATTAGAAATTTTTTTAATCAATAGGGTGCAAAAGTGAGTATAACTGACCTGAAAATATTCTGCAGTCATTTGAGCAAAATACAGTTTTAAACTTTCCAGTAAAAATCTGGTATGTAGAGCTTAAAGAACCATGACTGAAATTCAGTTTGTTTTTCTGTTAGTAGAGCTGTGCCACATTTTGTGTTTACAGAGGGCTCTTCCATTCTCTGCACACAGTTGCAGAGATGTGATTATAGGAAAGCCAGCTCCTGCAAGGTCTCTGATTTCTTAGGCAATTCATTTTGAGTAGTTAACAGAGTCTTTTTTATTCCTTCAAGGATACTTTCTGTGCAGTTTGTGTTACTCTGTTCAGTGGTATTTTCTTTCCTTCTTTCCTATTAGTCTCAATATTTATTGAAGTAAATTGAGATCTGTCTTTAACATAATACTTGCAACACAGATTGCCTTAAAAAACTTAGGTCTGTTTTAATGATAGACTTCAAATGGAACAGGTTTTAGGACAATGTTTTGATAAAGGGGTCTTTTATACATAATTATTATCCTTGATGCAGCATATCTTGACATTCTGATAAAGAAACACTTAACATACTCGCCTTCTGTGCACAAAAATCGTAAATCCTTTGCTCAAATATCAGACATCCTGGCTTTCCAGTCAGTTTGTGCAGAACAAGGGTTGCCTTTTTAGAAGAGCTTCCAAACACAGTAAGTCAGAAGGAGCATCCTTTTTTATCATAGACCTGTTCAGGGTATAGAGCAACCTTGTGAGGTTTTGCTGTGTGTATTTGCAAGTTGTGGCCATTATCAGTCATAGTGAGACCTTCACCAGCCTGCTCTGACTTGCACCACAGGTGATGTTGATGGCTAGTCCTAGCATGGAAGATCTCTACCACAAGTCATGTGCTCTGGCTGAGGACCCCCAAGAACTTCGTGATGGATTTCAGCATCCTGCTAGACTTGTAAAGGTAAATATGCTTCAATGCCAGACGCTTTTGGCAATGAAGGTTGGTTTTAGAGCTTTACCATTTTTGACAATAAGAGAGGAACTTGTATACAGCTGAATGATAACTTCATTTTTCCTCTGAAGAGACCTAGCTTCTACGTCAATTCTTTTTCCACTTTATAGGAGTTTCACATTTGCTGCTTTGTTCAACTTAGTTAAACTCAAACAATTAACTTTGTTAGCGGCTTTTTACGAGCACACACTTGTTTTTTGAGGGCTCAGCTGGGAAGAGAATACACATGAAGCAACAGCTAAGCAGCTGTTGTGTTAAGTGAAACAGCCATTAAACTGAACAAGCTGTATGTGCTGGGATGTTTCAGGACAACAGAATTGTTTTCCAGTTAAATTCTAACTTACTGCACACAGGAATACTTTCATTCATAGGTATGATGCTCTTGTGGTCTCACCTTTCCTAGCTTTTCATCACTTCTAAGCAAGCTCATGTGTAAATGAGTATCAGAGTTAAGAAGCAATTTAAATTACTGTCTGTCTTTTGGGTTAGAGAGCTTGTAAGTGCAAAGGAACAAGCCTATACCAATAAACAAACATGATGGAAAATCTTGAAAGCAAGAATGAGTGATGATGTTTTAAACCTATTCCATTGCTGAAATAATCTGTGGAAAAAAATAACTGAACTCTTTCTTGACTGATTTTCATTTTCAGATTTCAAAATAATTTGAAGGTTTACTCACGGATTTCAATGTGTGTGCTATGAATTATTCTTTGCACTTTGGGAAAATGACTTTTTACCCCTAGCAGGGGAACATTCAGAAGACTCTTTTTGTCTAGTTTTTAGTGGGTATGAAAGGCAAAGATGAAGCTATGGCTATTGGAGGACACTGGTCCCCATCACTGGATGGACCTGATCCAGAAAAGGACCCTTCGGTGCTGATAAAGACGGCAATTCGTTGTTGCAAGGCTCTTACAGGGATTGACTTAAGTGTATGCACTCAATGGTAAGTACTGTACTGTAAAGCCAAGTACACTGTAGAAATAAATACTTGTCTGTTACCAGGACTTGGAGGGGGAAAAAAAAAGGAAAAAAAAAAAAAAAGCTGGAAAAACACTTTTTTTCTTTGTCAACTGCTCTTGGTAGTTCAGGTAAACTACTCAAAGGATGTTCTGTTTGGTAATCAGCTTGATTGGTGCCAACTGTGCTGAATACTGCATTAAGAACTAATTAAAAAATGTGGGTTTATTTTGACATGTTATACTGTAATTTTTTTTTTAATGAATGTGCGTTGAAAATATTTTTCATTTTGTGCATAGCTGGAGAGGATCGTCAAGAGAACTTCATTTCATTGTTCTTTTGTTATAAATAAATAGCCGTTTGTTATACAGCCATATTTTCTCTTGATGACTTTCTGTCCTGCATTAACACTCTCTTTAGTTGTACTAATACCAGGAAAGCCTATTGTATGCTAAATTCAAAGTTCTTCAACAACTTCTTTTTTGCACATAAAACCTACTTGGGCTAAACAACAAGTTGTATAAAAAGCATTTTGTTGGTTTTCCTCCTTTTCAGTTGCGATACCTTTTACAAGCGTGCCAAAAGAGAAAATATGGCTTCCATAATTTTTTTCTTTAGATAAACCTCAAGGTCTTGCAGCAAAATTTCTTTACTTGATGTGCTACAAGTGATCTAGGCTCTTTAAAATGTATTGTAGAATTTTTTTTCCAACATGCTTCTTCCCTTGCAACAGGTACCGTTTTGCAGAGATTCGCTACCATCGCCCTGAGGAGACCCACAAGGGGCGTACAGTTCCAGCTCATGTGGAGACAGTGGTTTTATTTTTCCCGGATGTTTGGCATTGCCTTCCCACCCGCTCAGAGTGGGAAACCCTCTCCCGAGGATACAAGCAGCAGCTGGTCGAGAAGCTTCAGGGTGAACGCAAGGAGGCTGATGGAGAACAGGCACTGAACGCTAATCCCTTTTTCTATTTCTGCTTCTCACAGGCACAGGAACACAGGCACAAAATGCACACCACATACTACACAACATACATACATAGGAGGAACATAACTGGTAACAATGACTGGTAAACCAGCTTTCAGCAGTGTAGTGAATGTTGCTTTTTATTTTTATTTCAGCTAGTTCACTAACTTTAAACGTGTATGCTGATATCACAAACGGAATTAAATTGTGCTTATGATGCGCAGAAAATTTCTTATCGTAGACGTAGTTGCTGGAATCTGGGACCAGTTGTTGAGTGAGATTCAGTTTATGAATAGCTGTCTTCAAACATTTTGCCATTTTCTGAAATTTCTAAATTCTCTCTTGTGGCCAGTTCTAATTGTGATATTTGAAATTGAACAAACACTAGTCTGAAACATCTGAATTTCAGGCCATGTGGCTGATGAACATCTTGGCAGAAGGGAAGGTCTGACTGAACAAAGAGTAATTTGGGGGATTTAAGATGTGGGGGAAGATGACCCACTGTGTGGTTACTGGAGACCAGCAGTGTCTGTGTAACCCCAATATCCTTTGTGGTGTTGCTTATCACCCTTTTGTGTTCCACAGATCTGGCTTGTATTGGCTGAGTGGCACTGTGATCATTTATAAAGTGGTAGAATGTGTGTGTGAACTTGTCTAAATAATAACTTTAGGAGAAGACTATCTGAAACAGTTGTGACCTTGCACAGATCAGCAACAGAATTTTAAAAATAACTGAAATGCTTTCAAGCTTTCTGAATGATAATTTCTAAATTTTATTTGTCAGGATGAAGAGGAGAAGGATGATGGGGAAGCTAAAGAGATCTCTACGCCTACACACTGGTCTAAACTGGATCCAAAAACAATGAAGGTAACAAACACTTCTTAAAATTTGATTCCATTGTATTTTTTCACTTTTAAAACACCACCTGAAATGCAGCTGTATATGTTCCCTTAATTGAGCAAAAAAGGGTTCAGAAGTCTTTTGCTGAATTTGTAGGCACTGGATGGGGTATCAGAGTATGCAGGGATGACTCCTGGTTATAGTCAGTGAATACAGCTAATTGAATCTATTCTGAACTTTATACAATTAAAGGCTATCACAAATGATACATTAACTGGAAAATGAGAGTTCTTCTGTAATCTGCCAGATTACAAATTACATTAAAAATGTAGGGTCTAAAAAATACATTTTTATACAATTACTGCCTTTTTAAACTAAATCAGGAAACATAATAAAAAAATTCCTTGAAAGCAACGGTAAAACTATTTTACTCTTACAAAATCCTTTCTCTGCTTCTGTGAAAAGTTCCTCAGCAAGAAGTTTCTTTGTGGAAAACATCACTTTAAATGTAATATGTTTTTGTTATCAGTAACTATTAAGATTTTTTCAGCACATGTTTAAAAAAATACAGTTGACTTCTCAGTGCTGCTGATTTTTTTCCTCACTTTCTCTACTAAACATATGTTTTGTGATGTCACTGCTTGATACCACTCACAAAGCTTTTATTTATCAGGTAAATGACCTTCGCAAAGAATTAGAAAGTCGAACCCTTAGCTCTAAGGGACTGAAATCTCAGCTGATAGCTCGACTCACAAAGCAGCTGAAAGTAGAGGAGCAAAAAGAAGAGCAAAAGGAGCTGGAGAAGTCTGAAAAAGAAGAGGAGGAGGAGGAGGATAGGAAATCCGAAGATGATAAAGAGGTTAGGATTTGGACATACTTGGTTTAACTCCCTAGTATACATTAAATATATGAAACATTTGTATAAATATGTATAAACGTAAAAAATAGAGGCATGTGCCTGCTTGTGCTTGGATTTTGTTGTTACAGGTGACTTACTGGGAACTTTTGCTGTGCCTTGAGCTGCTGAACTGGGAAGAAATCTTGGCCAGTTTGAATTACTTTATATCAGCCAAATCAGCTTAAATGTGCAACTGCACTAGGGCATGTGAATTAATGTTTGACTTTAAATGTAAGGAAAAATAAATCCCAGCCTTCTGAGAAGGGCTATGCTCAAAAAAAGTGAGCAAGACTATAACTCCTTAAACCTACGTGAAAAGCAGTTGCTCAGTTCTGTTGGCCTCTGTGTCTCAGTCCATCTTCTTCACGTGGCAGATGGTTTGCTTGGGTTTGTTTTCCCTTATTATGAAGCTTTAATTTTTCCTTTTGGATACTTGCTGTGCATTGGAGTTTCTCAGTTTTGCAGTTTGTAGCTGCAGTGCTTAGCCTGGTTTGTTGTTTCACAAAGATAAAATCTGTGCAGTAAGCTCAAAGCTCAACCACAGAAAAGGGGCAGAAATGTCTGGAGAATGGTTTGTGCTTCAGTTGCTTTTACACCTGCCCTTTTGTGTGTTACCTGGTAACCTGTATGGGGTGATTGGAAGTTTTATATTTTGATATAGCTCTGTAAACCTTGCAGAGGGAGGAAAGGCCATGTGCTTGCTAATTCTGTCAGCTGCTGCCTTCTCCCACAGCTTGGATGGGGTTCAACTAGCTTGGGTTTCTTGCCACAGCTTTCTTTAGCATTGGAGGGGAGCTGTGATTGTGCTGGCTTTTTATAAAGCGCAAGCTCTGCCATGACTTTTTTTGTAGTCAAGAGACTTAAGTATTTGTCTCTTGGCAATCAGTAAGATGGTGGCATTTTACCTTTTTGTAACCCTTTGTTTCATTTTTGTCAGGTAGATTGTGTTTCCCATAATCAAGAGTTAAGTAAATTGTCATCTGGTAATCATTAAAGCTGTGGTGGGTGTCTTTGGAGAGATGAGGTTTCTTTTCCTTTGTAAGGAGTAAACAGCTCGCTGTGCTGTACAACTGTGCGTTGCTTTCAGCAGCTTAGGCTTTCCTCACAGCAGTGAGTCCTAAAAACTAATGTAGAGGCTGAAACTTGAGCTTTGGACTATGCCCCATGTTGGTTTTTGGTTCTTAGGAAGAGGAAAGAAAACGCCAAGAGGAGCTGGAACGTCAGCGGCGGGAGCGACGCTACATCCTGCCGGATGAGCCGGCCATCATCGTGCACCCAAACTGGGCAGCAAAGAGCGGCAAGTTTGACTGCAGCATTATGTCTCTGAGTGTTCTTCTGGACTACAGATTAGAAGATAATAAAGAACATTCCTTTGAGGTAACTCAGCTCTGCTACTTCCAGTTAGCTGTTCTAGTTTGTTTTTAATTTTTGTGTGAAAATATGTAAATTGCCAAGTCTTTGGTACATGGTACAATAGCAATGGAGTTGCTGCACGGTATCCAGAGGAATACACAGGTTTTCAGACACCAAATGGAATTTGTAAAGCTGTTTAAGGATTCCATATTCAGAACAGATAGTGAGAAATCTGACACTCCATAGAATTCTGGTATGATGCAAGTTGTTAAGATGTCACCTCATAGCGATTTTATCATTATTATATACAATTTTAATACATGCTTTAAAACTTTATCGCTTCTCTTTTCTTCTTTATGTTACAGGTATCATTGTTTGCAGAACTCTTCAATGAAATGCTTCAAAGAGATTTTGGTGTCAGAATTTACAAAGCACTGATTTCTCTCCCAGAGAGAGAGGACAAAAAGGACAAAAAAAGCAAAAAAGATGAGAGAAAAGAAAAAAAAGAAGAAAAAGATGATGAAACAGATGATCCAAAACCTAAGAGAAGAAAATCTGGAGATGATAAAGATAAAAAAGAAGAGAGAGATGAAAAGAAGGTCTGCAGTTAGCTCATATGCAGTTCTAGCCTGTCTGGATCAATATTAAAGTGTTTCTATTTCAGTTTTACATTATTGCTTTCAAAAACTCAGCTCTTACAATGCTAGTTAATTGATTTGACTTTCTGATCTATTAAAATATGCTTCAATTATATTCAGTAATTAAAAAAATTTACAGGTGTATTGGGAATATTTTAACACTCAGCTGTATCACATAGATTTGTATCTGTGTTCTTAGGTGACTAAGCAGAAATGTAGGCAAATTTTGACTGACTGGTAGTAAGGTTTTTACTTTGCTGCATTTTGATTCTGACTAGATAAATATTTAGGAACTTCTGTTACAGAGGGAAGATAAAAGGAAAGATGATTCTAAAGATGAAGAAGAAACGGAAGATGACAATAATCAAGAGGAGTATGATCCAATGGAGGCAGAAGATGCTGAGGACGAAGATGAAGGTATCTTGAACTATGAATTCTGTGACCTTTCACAAATTCTGTTTTATCATCAGTGATTATGTTCTTTCAAGCTGGAGACAGCGCTGCAACTAGGCAATTCAAAATTTCATTATAAAACTAATTTTTTTTTAGTATTTCTGACCACTTCTACATAAAATGTAAGTACCTTTATGCCTAGGCATTGTGTGAACGTAGTTAATATAAAGTAGCTGTGGTGCTCTAAGTAAGGCATGCATATAGAAGTGGTTTTATTTTTTTCAGAATGCAGACCACTCGCAACTCCCATTGAAGTCAGTAGGAGATGTGAGTATTCAGCACCTCTGAAAAACCAAGCCACTTTTACATGCCTAACTTCTTACTCCTCAGTTCTGGAATGTCATCCTGGTTTTGCTAGGACAGAATGTAGTGTGGGTGCTCTTTAGCCCATGTTACAAGAAGTTGTTTTTTGTTTGGGTAGAGTTGTGTTAACCTGAAGAAACAGGGAAAGGGAAAGGGTCTGGAGGACTTTGCAGGCAACAACAGCAGCTCTTTCCCTGCTCAGAGATTCAGAAAACATGATGCCTGCTTTTGGTTTGTACTTTGGGGTAGTTGCCTTTCTGTGGAGAGGTTTTGCTAGAGATGTGGGTTTGAACCGTGTGGATATTGCAGTCCCAGCATTTTTCAGTTGTATTTTTGGCAGAGAACTGCACCAGCCTTAAAAAACTGATGCTGATCTGTGGTTTCCAGAATAACTCATATTTGCTTATAATTTGTCTGTAAGAATGGCCTGGACTTGTCTGTCCTGTACAAGTGCTGCTGCTTCCCATAATCTGTCCTTGTGCTATTCCCAGTCAAGAGTTGCTGAGAAAACCCAGCCTGCATGGAGGTGCAGGAGAAAGCAATTGGTTCCCAGAAAAGAGTTGGTAAAATTAGCCAAGTGTTGTAATACATAGTTTTTTCCAAAATTTTCCTCACAAGGAAGGTGAGCTTAAAGCAGGAGTTGGTACCTAATTTTCTGACCCAAGACTTGCACATAAGGTACAGAGCTGCTTGCCATAATCCATCCCAGCAGCTGCCTCATCCTTTCCTCTCTTTCAGTCTGGTTTTGCTGTACCACCTACCTTCAGACAAAAAACCTTCCATTTGTAATTCACATCTAATAAATTATGTGATCTGTAACTTCTTGGAGAATCTAAGTCATAGGAAGAGTAATCTCTCACTCAACATGAGTATAAACACATGGTTTTAATTACATAGTTTATATGGGTTATATTATATGAAATATTTCAGAGTAAATAATGCTGAATTTGAATAGGAATAACCATAGCTGAGTGCAGACTCTGCCAAGCCTCATTAAGGAGAATTGTGGTAATTTCCTCCACGCCACTTAAATAGATGGAGATATTGGCAGAACTCATTTTGTCCTTGTTAGCATTTGTTTCGGCTCTTCTGTCTTGTGTTTGAAACAGACACAGGGAAAAGATTATAAATGGATTATGTAAAAATAAGACTAGAGAAAAATCAGAATTTAACAGAGCTCACTTCAATGCATTTTTTATTATTTTTCAGGGAAGCGTACTGCAGATGTTTCGGGATGTTTGTTATGTGGACTTTTCTAGTGGCCACATCTGTTTTGGTAATAGTTTGCTGTGGGTATTTTGAATTTTCTTTCTGTTTTGCAGACCGGGATGAAGAAGAAATGAACAAACGGGAGGACAGAAGAGAGGGAAATAAGCATTGTAAAGAGAGGGCGTCTAAAGATAAAGTAATTAACACCTTTCTTAACAACTGCATAGACCTTGTTAGAGGTGTCCTAATTACAGCTTAGCTTTATTTTTGTTGTAAGACCCGTTTTTCCCTTTGAAAATAGCTGTTAAGTAAAGGATTGAGGGCAGAAGAGATGTTTCCTATTTTATAATTAGGTTAATACTATAAGCATTTTTACATACTAGCATGAACAAAAGGAAATTGTGTCTACCAGCTATTACTATTCATTGTGGTGTATTTCTTTTAAATATTGAAAGATTGCTTGTTATATATTGCTTAAATTAGTCTTAAATTATGTGATCTAAGTAGGTAAATGCTAGTAATATTAATTACTTGACTGAACAATAAAATGAACAGAGAAAAAAACTTTTGTTAAGTGAGAAGTTGGTGTGTTTTTTGAATGGTATTTTAACTCCCTAATGATCTCATAATCAATTTTTTGTAGGAGAAAGACAAGACCCAGATGGTGACTGTTAACAGGGATCTCCTGATGGCTTTTGTTTATTTTGATCAAAGTCATTGTGGATACCTTCTGGAGAAGGACATGGAGGAGATCCTGTACACTCTTGGACTTCACCTGTCACGTGCTCAGGTTTTGTATACTACTAAAAATCTTCCAAACTATTACAGGGATGTTTTAAGTGGGAGAAATGTAATTTAGCTTCTAAAGGCTTTGCTTACATACCTGATCTCTTATTTTTATGCAGCCACTTCATGTCTACAATGAAATACTGGTTCAATATTTTGTAAATTTTCTTGGAGTGAAAAGGTGAAGTTTGCAGCTTATAATATGCCCATACTGTATATGTAGCTTTTGTCTCAAACTTGTATTTATTCTTTTCCTAGTTTGTTTGCATTGTAAGCCCTAGTATGTTAAAGTTCAAAAAGTGATGCAATTTCTTTTAAGTTTTCCAAGCTAAAGCATTCTTGTTTAGGTAACAGGATGACTGGGTATTAAATAACACTATTATTTTTTTCCCATGGCTGTGTTGTAGGTCAAGAAGCTGCTTAATAAAGTAGTGCTTCGAGAATCTTGCTTTTACAGAAGACTAACAGATACTTCTAAAGATGAAGAAAATCAAGAAGAGTCTGACGAGCTACAGGAAGATATGTTAGGTGGGTTTTTCGGGGTGTTTTTTTTTGCCATGAATTTCCAGAGAGTTATTTCTATGGGAATGATACTGAGAGTTCTGAGGAACTGGGTTTCTTGCAGAAACTAATTGAGCCAGTTTGGAAAAGTAAATCTTTGGCAGTTCAAAAGTAACAGTGTTTGTGCTTCCAACACATAATGTTGCAACTTTAGGATAAATCTTAATATCTTGGAACAGGAAAGAGGACAAGGTTAATGTTCTACACTGATGAACATCATTTCTCATTGTTAGTTTTGAAGTCAGGAGGCTCAGAGCTGCAGGAAGTAGAATAGAGCCTGAGTTTTTAAGAGAAATTCCTGCAGGAAAGAGGCATAGAACGATGCCTTGAAAAAGAGAACGCTTCTTTTTGGCAGGGAGCAGAATTAGGGTCAGGGAAAGGAGGGAAATGTGAGGGATAGAGCAGCAAACTTGTATTTGTCCTCATGAGAAGTTTCTGAGGTTGGTCACTAAGGAATGAGGTGAGGATTATTTCCTGGTGCTGCTGACCCCACTGCAGGGAACCGCCTGCTGCTGCCGTCGCCCGCTGTGAAGCAGGAGAGCAAAGCCGTGGAGGAGAACGTCGGGCTCATTGTCTACAACGGAGCCATGGTGGACGTGGGCAGCCTTCTGCAGAAGCTGGAGAAGAGTGAAAGGGTGCGGGCAGAGATAGAGCAAAAGCTGCAGCTGCTGGAAGAAAAAACAGGTGGGATGTTGCTTTGAAGGTAGTTCTTCTTACAGGGGTGCAAGACACTGAGAATTTTTAAGTAGATAAATCAATTTGGGTAATATTTGTGACCTAAGTTTTCTTCGAGAATTGAAATGTTGTCAGAATTAAGTATTATCAAATGGTAATTCAATGCAGTTTTTAATGTTCTTTAAAAATAAGTATTATGGTGTTGCACACAAATAGAATATTAAGATGCAAAGCGCACAGAGTTGGAAGTGACTTGATGTTTTCATTTCTTCCCTTCCTAAGATGAGGATGAAAAAACTATACTGCAACTGGAGAATTCTAACAAAACGCTATCTGCGGAGCTAAAAGAAGTAAAAAAGGACCTTGGCCAACTGCAAGAAAATTTGAAGACCTCAGATGATAAAAAATTGCAATTTGAGGGTCAGCTGAATAAGACAATCAAAAATTTAGCTACTGTTATGGATGAAATACAGAGTGTTCTCAAACAGGTTAGAATTGTCTCATTCCATTTTTTTTATTGTTGTCATCTACAAACTTCTGTAGAATAATTATTGGAACAAGCACTTCAATATAAAAACAATTTTGACATGAACTCAGGGCAGCAGTATCTTAACATATATAGAGAAGAAGCTTAATGTTTGATTATTTAAAGGTAGCAAATTAAATATGTATTTTTCTTTACCTGCAACATACATTCCTGGATTCAGTGTTTTTAGAAAGGTATAAATATTAATGTAGATCTCAAACTGTCTCTTTTCCTGTCCTGATCTTGTCCATCCTCAGCAGTCCAAATCTACTCCTCTGTTTGACTGGTCAAGAGTACTTTTTCAAGGCAGAATTCAACTCTTTTAGTATGTGAGAGTATGTCAGTAAAATGAGTTTTAAGCAAAACATATAAGCTCCAGAGCATTTCTACCCCTCAGTTTTTCAGGAAGATACTGGAATTGGTTATAACTAAACTGAGTAGGATACCAGTTCACATAGTATTTTAAAGGTACAGTGTCTGTGTCTCATGCTCCTTTACAGTTCTCATGAGAAATACAGCTTGTACAATTCCTCTCACTCTCTCCCTTTTTCCTTTTAAAGGACATCGTGAAGAACGAAGATAAAGATCAGAAATCCAAAGAAAACGGAGCAAACGTATGATAAACTGCTGCTGTTTAGAAGAATGGTGTTACATAATGTAATATAAATCATGATACCAGAATGTATGGGAAGTGATGCATGTTCGATTTTAGTAGTATAAATATCTTAGGTTCCAAAAGATGTATAAAGTTTTATGAATGTGAGTGTCTGCTCCAGAAGATTGCTTGTAATTCTTAGCATTCAATTTGAGACACTCCTCAAGTGAAAATAATTTTGCATTGCGAAAAGTTTTAGGATGAACTTTGTTATAGTTTTAACCCTAATAAAGTTCATCAACGTAATGAACAGTAGCAAGTATTTAATTACCAAATGTTTTTCATTGAAGTCTAGTGAAATCAAAATTTTCATTATTTATAGACTTGCCATTTTTAGGTTTTTGTCTTTATTTCGGTCTAATTAGTCTTTTTAAATTCAAATATAAATCACAAAATAGCATGCTGCTTAATTTTACAAGTAAAGATTTTTTTTAAAAAAAAGCTTCTTGGATTTTTTTTGTTTTGGTTTGGTTTTTGTTTTCACTTGTCACAATTTTTTTTCCCTTCCATATATAACTTTCTTCCCCAAAGCTGCTTGTATTAAAGCCTTGTAATATACAGTAGTTTGGATGAGTTAAGAAAGCAATAGAAACCTACCAAAATACTGGTAGGGTTGTGAGATTTATATGAAAATACATGGGCCTGTTTTAAATGTGTCATTTGTATTCATTAAATTGTTCTTATCTTTGGATTAATATATATATACACTCCTTTTTAATAACAAATGCAGTATATTAAGAGGTACAGTTGGATACTGGGCCAGTAGATGTCAGAATAATGCCTTACATGGAGAAAAAGCTGCCCGTGTGAACTGCCTTGGGTTAAATTTGGACCGACAAAGTGTGTCATAACTGCTAAGCCTTTAGTCCAACAAAAGAAGTGGCTCCAAACAAAAGAAGTATCTATACTGCATACTGTAATTACAAAGGAGAGGGACAGTTTGTTGAGAATGGGTCAGACAGCCTTTCTTTGTGTTCACAAATCACTAGAGATCAAAACTCATGAGTTAATGTGACTTCCTTGTCAAAGGCAACTTACTCAAAGAATGTGAAATATCAACAGTTGTGTTTTGGTGCAACTTTCAGGAAAATTAAGGGGTTTGAAAATTGGGACAACAGTGTTCTCTTAGAGAAATGGTTAATTTTAGCAGATGTTTTCTTTTTTAGCCTAGATGTCCTAGGTAACTAAATACCTGTTAGGAAAGTCCAAGTGCCATAATATGTATGAATAACCTACATGGAAACTCATGTAGCTTTAATGAGATACACATTAAAATGCCTGAATTTATGTTCAAAAGAGTCTAAGCTGGTGCTTTTATCACTTACCTTTCTTGGCTCTTTTGGAGCTAGACAAGTGAAATATCTTTCATTAAAGTAACATGCATAAGCTTCCCCCTCATTCATCTCATTTGAGCCATTGTATAATACCTGAACTCTTCATAGTTAAGCAGGAAATACTATAAAAACACTAATTGTATATAAATACACAGAAAATACATGTTTTAGAAATTGGGAGATAACATCTCAGAATGATTGAATGAGGATGGTGATAAATTTATCTTCTAAAAAGCATCTGTGGTGTACAGATGGTGTTAAATTCTTTTGTAATCAAATTATATTTTTCACCTTTACCTTTGTACAGATTGTTGACAGCATGTTTAATTTTTGACGTTGAGCACTGTTTATGTAAATGGACTTGAAAGAATTGCATCTGAAATACGTTGTCCCTGAATTTCAGCAGTACGTGTGAACATACAAGAAAATGAGTTTAAAATTTAAGATAATGACATTTTAGGCACACTAAAACGTCTGAAATATTTTGCTTGGGTATTTTTACCTTAAACTGCTGAGCTGAAAGCAGTTGTTAAAACAAGCAGGCCTCCTCATCTCGTCCTTCAGTGAGGGGCCCTGTGAGATGGTCGCTAGAGTGATAGAGATTTTTACAATATTTAAGAAGAAAAGTATTTGTTAGAATGACTGTAATCTTTCTCTCTATTGATTTGATGTAATAGTGTTTCAAATACTATGTACAGTCTGCGTTTATGTTGGAAAGGAAATTTAATGGGTAAAGAATAAAGGAGAAAAAAAAAACAAGGAAAAGTTTTACAACCTACACAGAGCTTGATGAGTCTGCTGAAGCACAGATAATCTGAGGAAGAACAGGCGCCTCTTACAGACTCTGTGACTTGCTGGACCAAACAGCACAAGGTTCTGTACATGACCCACATTGATGCTGTGTATTAGCTAAAGCTTCTTAGTATTATTCCCAGAAATGTAACTAATTCTAAGGAAAATTGAATGGAGTATCAGTAACAGAGGTTTGGAGAAGCAGTCTTTTGTCTGTTTTGATTTTTGAACATTTTTATATTTCATGTCTGCATTTCCCACGTTATGGTCTTTGCACTTCTGAGTCATTTGTTTTGTCCCAGTTACTGGCAAAAGGCTGCTAAAAGTGAGCCTTGGCATCCCACTTGTTTGGACTCCTGAAATTATCACAGATGCTTTGTAGAAAGTAATAAATCTTGGACTGCTTTGTTCTGTAGAGAAAGCCCTGCTACAGCAGGCTGGTAAATGGAATCTGATCTCTGTTTATAAATTTATTTCCCTCCCCTTTGCCATTTTGTCTAATGAGGGCAAATGAATGAGTTTAACCCTTACAAAATTAAATTCAGCCCTGTGATGTCTGTGAATGAGTCTGGGAAGAAAGATCAAAGTGCTGCTTGCATGCAAACTGACCTAGAATAACACAGGCACTCTTGAGCCCTCTTTGCTTTTGCTAGAGCACTGGAAAGACACGAGTCTGTAGTTTCATTGCTGCGTAGAAACAGTGGCAGTGGTGAGGTTTTGCCAGCTTTCTCTAGTGTTGAGGATTGCATGTAGTGTTGAGGAGATGGGGCTGCTGCCAGCGCTGCTGCATGTTGTGCCACGATGAAGACACCCAGAATTTTTTTGCCTCACCCAGTGTCTGGTGCCCACAGTGCCCAGGCCCAGCTGCAGAAGGTCTCCAGGACTGCAAAATGACTTCCCAGTTCTTGGTTTGTCCAGTGTCCTCTGCCTCTGGAATGCCCTGAGTATACAGTGGAGAAATTGGAATTCTCTCTTTGGTGTCTGGGGGTTTCCACAGATCCAGCTTTTACAGTTGAGTTCTTTCAGTATCTTCACCTTATAAATCCTAGTCCTTTAACATAACTTCTTTTTCAATGTTTAACTGCTTTAACAGAGAGGAATGGCTTCCAGTCCTTTTTTCTGCTGAGTAATGTGCCGTGTGAATAAGTTTGGACTTACGTAACAGTTAACTTTCACTGATAATTTTGTCAGGAATGTGCACAAAACGTGTTTTTTCTCTTGCTTTTCTGAACTGTTTGTGTACCCAGGTCAGGTTCTTACCTTGAATTAATTTGTTCAGTGCAGTTTATATTTTAAAATATAAAAGATAAAATAATTCATTTTGAGTGACTGAGTCTTACAGCCAGCAATAGATTGCAAAATGTGTAGGTAGCACAGTCACTACACTTACACTGGTATCTCTTCCAGAAAACAGAAGTGAATCAAACAGAAATTCAGCTGGGACTTGCATATTGCCATGGAGTGTGACAATAAAGATGCCATAAATAATGGATACTTTTAGTCAGCTATGGAAACTGCCAGTGTTTTCCCAACAAGCTTTTATGTTTCTGCATACTGGGTTTCATTGATGTATTGCACAAAAGTTGTTATAGTAAAAAGCTCTAATAACAAAATGCATTGCTTTCAAGTAAGACCAGTTTTCCTTATTTATTCATCCACTATATAATTCACAGCATCACAATACAGAGTATAAACTAGAGCTTTGGAACACACCAAATCTCACCTGATGTGTTGTGTGTTTGGTAGTGTTGTAATTCTATCTCAGAATGTTGCTTTTCAATTTCTAGGTAGCTAATACCTGAACTTAATTTTGAAAGTAGGATGCTGCTTTTGATTTCTTATAGCCTGCTGGTTTTAAATTGCCTCTAACAAATTAATTGTAACTTGTTTGAGGATTTGGTTCAGGTGCTTCACAGTAGGTGTAAGAACCAATACCTTTGCAGGTGTGATTCAATAATATTGAGACTTGTTGTATCTAGTAAAATATTAATTCAGCCCTCTTTATTATTCTCTTTAAAAGGACAGCAGAATAATCCTGCTGGATAGATTTGTTTGTTGCATGCTGCAGATTAATATTTATTTGTAGAAATTTCCTGAGCTGGATTCCAGCCAAGGTGACACAGATTCCCAATGCCAGGTGTTCTGATAGGAAATTGATTCCCAGGTTATTTTCCCCTCAGCCTACTGAGGGACACAAGTACAAGGATGCTTTTGACTTAGTCACTGTTCACATTTCTTCACCAACAGTTGTTGGTGGAGGGGAAGAGTGGGGAGGAGGAAAAACTGCAAGGAATCCCAGTTGGAAATCACCCCACTGCTCTTCAGCAGATATTTTTCAAGTGCTAATTTGCTTTATGATTTTGTTGCAACTTTTTTGGTGGTATACAGGATTTGTTTGAGTGACAGTTGGGTTTTTTTACCTGTATTGCTTTAATCTTCTTGGTTTTCCTGACACAGGGTCATCCAGATACATTCCTGTTTTATCATGCAAGGAGCAGAGACAGCTGGAGAATGGCAACCTTCATTTTTGGTCCCTTTTTAGTAGGGCTTGATAGTAGCCAACAAATCAGCCTCTAAAAAAAGCAGAAATTGCTGCCACATGTGTTACAGAAATGAGCAGCTGGAGACAGAAACACCTTGCAATGCTGGTCTCAAAACTTGTCTCACAGACCAACCTGCTTTTCTGTAAAACAGTCCATTGCATGTGTGCACAGGACAAGGTAAAGGAGAGAAAGCAATTTTCCCTTTAGGTGTCAGGTACACGTTGGGTAGATGCATTGTTACACTTCCAGCTTGGACACTAATAAGAAACAACAGAACTTGGAAGTTCTCTTAAGCATCTGGAAAGACTCCTGTCTCTTCATGCCTTGTTTTGTTAAAGTACTATTTGGTGAGTTAAAATATTAAATAAATAACATTAAATATAACTATTGGAATATTCATATTACAAGTTGAAAAATCTTGGGGAAGAGTTTCCAAAAGCAGCTTCAGGGTATTGATAAATAGATAAAATGTTGCCTTTGTCAAGTAGCCTCTCTGGTATAAGAAACTTACATATAATGGGACTAAACAAGTGCAAATACAGATTAGCTGCTTACCAGTATTGAACCTGATTTTTCTGTCAGTGTTCTTCCTAAAATCAAGCTAAGAATTAGGGTTGGTTTTTTTTTTCTTTGAGGGAGGGGTGATGTTTTCATTATAACAAGGAGAGGGAAAAATAAGTGACCATTAATACTGGGACACATATGGATGGCAGCACATCTGTAAATTCTCAGACATCCAGTGATATGGTTGTAAGGAATGTGTAGTGAGCATTTTCAGTCTTCTGATTTGGGCATGTAGTGATGGACAGTACAAAAGGGGACTTGTGAGGGTCATACAACGTGCAGTACCGGTGATCCATGTACAAAAGCAGAATTTATATAGTGTGACTTTTGGGTAGCAGTGGCTCAGAATATGTAGGATTGGTAAGAGGTGGCTGTGCAGATGTTCTGAGCAGTGAATTAATTTTGTTACCTACTTCACCCTTTAAAGAAAAGGAAGATTAATCCACTTTAGGGCTTATTTTCAAAGAAGACAGTTGAAAAAAAAATTATTCTAATGCAACATGGAATTTAAGAACCTATAAAAATCCCCTAAATAGCACACCGAATTGGACACCAGATTCCTCTGCGAGCAGCAGGTTCTAAAGCAAGCTGTGCTCTTACCTTGTCTGTCAAGGATTTTGCAGGGTGACTGAGAGGATGCCGAGCTCTGCAGAATAGGAACAACCTGTGCAAGTGCCTGTCACCAGCGTGCAGGGCAGGGCTAGAGCGTGTCCTGTGCTCTGCACCGGTGCCTCCTTTGCCTGCTCCGCCAGCCCTCGCTTCGTGCAAATGTAATCTGAGACAGGGCAAGAGCCCCGATCCTGGGGGAGAAGGGGGGAGGGAGTCTTTGTCTCTGTGAAATCTTAGCGCAAACTAGAGGCAGGTTCCTCAAGGCCAGAGTGGGATTCTCTGGAGGGGGAGTGCCCCGCTCTGGAGCTACGAGCAGCCGGGACAGGGGCGGAAAGCTGGGGCAAGGCTTGACCACAGAGGCAGTGCTGGAGCCCTCCGGTGCCACCGAATTTATTTGCTTTCATCTGGACTCATTCCTATCTTCGGATACGGCGTGTGTGATCCCGATGGTGAC